ATTACAGGTTTAGTCCAGACTCAAAGTCTGCTGTTTGAGGAAAAAAAATAGTTATGAAACTGGCTTTTGAAGAGTTTAAGATATTTCTTATCTATATTTTTTAACATAGATTTATTTAAAGCTCTGCTGATATTCATTATAAAGATAGTTTTGTCCTTTTTAATGAAGTTATTCAGGGAAAAAGCTTAGTTAAAGTGGCTAATGATGAGAGAAACTCCCCATGTGGTTTCTAATGTTTTAGGGCCAAATTACAGATTTAGTAGCAATGAAACTGGCTTTTGAAGAGTTTAGCTGAGTATCCCTTGGGTTTTTTTCCTGGAGGTATTCCTTTTTTTAGGAGACTTTAGGCTCAAAAAGTTGGGTTTGTATCTGCCCGGTAGTCTAACAGGAGAGGGAGGCAGGTTTACAGTCCGTAATCCTGTGGGCTGCTGGTCAGATTTAGAGCGAGCTAATTGGATCCCATCCCGTCCAATCAGCTCGCAGCCTGAGGCCCGTCGGTGCTTCTCTTTGACCCACATGGATTAACGACTTCATTCAAATATTCTGACCACGTAATCCTGGTGGAAAACCTGCTCCGGGCTTCAGCGGGAGGAGAACAAATCCTGCTGATGTGCTCCGGATTCCTCCTCTTTCTATGTTTTTATTATTTTATTATTTTATTTAGAAAGTGAGGCCAGGAAGCAGCTCTGTAAAGGTCCATAAAGTCATTTAAAAAGATGATTAAACATGAAAAAACCTGCTGATAAAACCCAGATTGCTCAGTAAAACAAAGTTCCATATTTGTGTAAATCATATTTTACATTTGATTCACTTAAATTGATATCGATTGAAATATCTGGTTGCTTTAAGTGTTAGATTTACTGCTTTTAAATACATTTCTTAACTATGTTTTTAACATAGATTGACTTTTAGCTCTGCTGATATTCAATATAAAGATAGTTTTTGTCCTTTTTAATGAAGTTATTGAGGTAAATAACTTAGTTAAAGAGGCTAATGGTGTTGTTTCTTATGTTTTAGGGGTTCCTCTTTCTCCTCCCGTGTCCTCAGTGGGTTAGTTAGTTAGTTAGTTAGTTAGTTAGTTAGTTAGTTAGTTAGTTAGTTAGTTAGTTAGTTGAGTTAGTCGGGATGTTTTCTGTCAGCCTCCTTCTCGGGGAGTCGAGTCACGACCGTTTCATGGTCGAACAAAACCCACTTTTTACTTTTTGTCTCCTGTTCCTCCATTCCAGATTCACATCAGTTCAAACCTGCTGCTTTCTCTCATGTTTCTGTGTTCTTTTATCTCTCTATGTTGTGTTTTTCCGTGCTGTTCTCCTTGGTCTTGACTCTTCATTTTGATATCACGCTTCACTCTTCTTTGGTCTCATGCAGCTCTTTGCTCTTAACTGAATTATTTTCCCCTTTCCCCCGGTTTCCCCCTCAGGTGGAGACACTTCCTCCTCCACCACTGGCAGCGCCTCTCCGGTTCCCAACAGCTACGATTCCCTCGAAGGCGGCAGCTATCCAGGTACCTGTTCATCCCATTTCAGCTTCCACCACCAGCAGGTGTAGTCTGAGTCGTGGTTAGTGCCAGGTGTTTGGACTATCTGCCCTTAACTCACAGGCTGCCAAAGACGTCTATAGAGGTCTTTTCTGTTTTTAACGAGAGT